GCACAAATCGGCAGATAACAGACGCAAGTAATCTTGACATTGCTTCGAGAGATAATACTTGATCGTAAAACGGTACAGCGCACAGATAACGGACGCAAGTTGTCTCGACAATGTTTCAAGAGGTAATGACCGATCTAATATGTTTCGCTTGCCTCGAGGTTAAAAGATCGATGTATAAGAATTCGGTGAAAAACAAATAACGGTAATGCCAGTTGAGAGATCGATGTATAGGAATATTCGTTGCAAAACAAATAACGGTAATGCTAGTCAGAGACCTTGTAACACAGTAATCTATGTATATAATAAATAAAGCGTGAAACGCGGAGCTCTCAAATTTTTGGAAGCCCCTCGATCACATCGAGATAGTTTTCGGGTAAATCCTCGATGTCCGTCTGCATATTCAAACCATTCTTCTGTCTTTTTATACATATCATCTCAGATATTAACCGTTTACTGATATATGGTTCGCTGTCCAAAATTTCAACCGCATTCCACTCGAAATCATGACCAAACTCTAATCTATGCTCCGTGATCACTGAGCGGCTGGTTGTGTTTCTTCTTATGTGGGCCTGATGTTCTTTAATTCTGGTTTGTAATTGCCTACAAGTCTGACCCACGTAAGAAGCATCACAGTCCCCACAGTTAATTTTATACACTACGTTGCTATGTGCAAATTTCGGAAGGGCGTCCTTATGTGCTTTAATGCAATTCTGCATTTTATTCAGGCTATAATATGATAGCCTAAACTTATGATTTTTTAAGATATTTCTATATTGGTCATTAATATGCGGAATATACGGTATTGTGAAAAAGGACCTTCTTTTTGTAAACTTTTCGACCTCTTTATCTATTGCCCCCCTACCTATTTCTACCTCCTCCGTCCTTCTTCTAAATTCCTCTCTCGCTTCTTCCGACCAGTCCGTCTTTTCCACCCACCTCTCTACCTTCGCTATGGTCTCTTTCCTCTCACCAACCCCCCTTTATCCACCCGTACTGCTACTGATTGGTGATTCGAATCTACCCCACCTCCAATTTTGTCACTCTTTCCCAAGCCTTCCTATCCTCCTTTCACGTAATTGATTACTGTTTTCCCCCTTTCTTTTGTAAATTCACCCCTCCTCATCTCCCTCCTTTACTCCGTTCATAATTCCCCACCCTTCCTCTTCAACTCATCTAATCAGCCCTTTTCCCTGCTTATTTATCATTTTACCTTTCAATTTTCTTTCAACTCTCTCTTCTCCATCCTCCAGCGCTCCTTTCTCCCCCGTTCTCGCATTGAAATCGCCCCCCACTATCCATCTTTTTTCTCCCTTCCTCCTCCTTCACCGATGTTATCTTATCCATTATCATGTCCAAGTTGCCGCTTACGTAAACTGTTGCCAATCTCCATTTCTCCTTCTTCCATCTTACTTTCATAATCATTAAACCCTTTTTTCCACTCATTCTTTTTCCTCTTCTAACCCTTTTCTAACTTCCATCATTATCCCACCTATTGCTCTTCCTCTTCTTCCAATTCTTTCTTTCTTTGCACCTTGTATCCTCCAATTGAACTCCTCTGGCAGGTTATTCTTCATCTTCTCCCATTCCTCCTGTTTCAGGCACGTCTCTACCAACCCCACGACATCCCACTTTCTTATCCTTTCCCAAACCCTTCCTGTTTTCCCTTCATTCCCGCTACATTCCAAAAGCCTATCTTTAGGCTTCCTTCCTGTTCCTTCTCTTCCTCCTCTCTCCTGCATTCCTTTCTTCCCCTCCCTCTTTTTCCTTTCTTTCACTCCTTTTTACTTTCCACACTCTACTCTCTTTGACTCCTTTCCCTCTTCCCCTCAGCCTCACCACACTCTCTTCCTCCCTACTCTCCCTCTCCTCCCTCTTTTCTCCGCCCTCCCCTCCCATCGTTTCTCCTCCCTCCTCACTGCCTTTCCATTTCATTTTTCCGTCTCCCTCTCTTCTACTCTTTCCCTTCTCCTCTGTTCCTCTTTCTCCCCCCTCCTTTTTCTTGCTCATCTCTCATTTCTCCTTCCATCTATCAGGACTTCTTTTTCCTCATCCCAACTCCACCACTTCCCCTCTATCCAAATCTTTCCGTACTTTATCTAATCTCTCCTCCTATTCCTTCTCTCCTTCTCTATCCTCTCCAGGCTCCATTGCACTTTTCTTTCCTTCAAGGTCATGTCATTCTCTATTTTTTCCATCCTCCCTTTCAACACATTCTTCTTCTGCATTACTTCTATTTTTCTTACTCTATCCTTTAACCTAACTAAAACTATCTTCTTCTCTTGCCCCGTCTTTCTTTCTATCTCTTTTACCTCTTTTATTCCTCCCTCCTTTCCCATCTCTAGCCATAGCTTCTCTACCGTTTCCTTTCGCCTTCCCTCCTTCACCTCCACCCCTTTCACTACTACATTGTTCCTCCTTCTGTCTCTCTCTTCTAACTCTCTCCACCTTTCTAGCTCTCTTACCTTCGCTTCCATTGCTTTATCTCTTTTTCCTATCTCCCACTTTCCTTCCTCTTTCACTTCTCCCTGCTCTTCCTTCCTCCCATCTCTCCATCTCTTAACTAATATATTTAAATTTATATATTAGTTAACTTCTTTATATACACTACCGCTCATTACTTAATTTCAATATATAACCCTATATTTGTTAATTTCTCTGTAAAGGATGAACATGATACATGTGTTTTGTACAAAAATGAGTACATTTCCTGTTATAAACACTTGCATGCATTGCATTTTCATATATTATTTATATAAAAATGCGATGCATGCATGTGAAATGTTTATAACAGCAAGTGCATTCATTTCTGTGCAAAACACGTATCATGATGTTCATCCTTTACAGAGAAATCAACGAATTTGTTGTATATTGAAATTAATGAGCGGTAGTGTATATAAGGAAGTTAACTAATATATAAATTTAAATATATTTGCAATACAATAAATATTTTTATAATATATTATACCTTTCTCTATATTGTTCCTTCTCTTCTCCTTCTTTCATCTTTTGACGTAGAACTACGTCTTTCTCGGGGGGTATGGGGGTATGACTGCAACGTTTTTTTGCAACGTTTTCATGCAACATTTTCTTTTTCTCGAAAAGTATTAAAGAAAAATATACTTTATTATATAGTTTTTGAAAGCTCTCGATGTAAGCTAAATGTTTTCGTGGTTAATTTTTCGATATGGGTTTGTTCTCAAAAAGTATTAAAGGAAAATATACTTTATTACATAGTTTTTGAAAGATTTCGATGTAAGCTAAATGTTTTCGCTCAATGTTGGTTATGTTCTCTTGATACTTCATAGATTTTTCGAAAATTTTTTAATATTGGGAATTTTGGATAGTGCGACCTTTTCGTTGGTTGCTAAATGTTTTCGCTCTTTGTTGGTTATGTTCTATTGTAATAGACGTAGTTCTACGTGTTAATTGCGGCACAGTTGTTACTGTGCTTGTTAATTTTTTTTTATCTCTATATCTTTCTCTTGTCTTAAAATACTTTTTACTTTTTTATAAACAGCTTAAGGTATGGATACAATAAATAATACTATAAAAGCTACATTTGGATGGTAATAATTTACACATCCTACCTCTATAATTATGTTAAAATTATAATAGCGTAATGAAAACGATTCATAGGAATAAATGTGATAGTATTTATTAAATGAAATTAAGTATGAAATATACATTTAAGAAATATTACTTTAATGATTATATTATCTTACGCGTTATTAACATTTCATACAGGCGAACCAAATAGATGCTATGATATACAGGATACCTTTAAACAATTGTTTCATTTTCTAACATTTTTCAGATATACTGTAATATAATCGTATAATCGTCATATTTTTTTACACAGAAATACTAACGCAAAATTATTCGGGCATTGTCACTACTAAAATTAAAAAATCAGATGAAGGGTTAGGTAATGTACATATTTTTAATTCACATATCTCTCATTTACTACCGATCATCATTTCATAATGATACATTTGCAACGAAATAGATACGCCAGTACCCAAAACGTATATCTGTAATCTAAACACAAGTTTTTATATTTTGGAAACGATACAATAAGTGTCTTAAACTACTTTTTACTTGTTTCTAAGCAGCATAAAATATCGATACTATCCGAATAGTATAAAAGCTATATTTGGATGGAACGATAACAATTTAGACACCTTACCTCTATAATTATGTTAAAATCGTCAGATATACTGTAATATAATCGTCATATTTTTTTTACACAGAAATACTAACGCAAATTATTCGGACATTGTCACTAAAAAATTAGATGCAGATAGTTTGTAATCATACAAAGATAGACATCTTTTTAATTCATAACATATCTCTCATTTACTACCGATCATCATTTCATAATGATGCATTTGCAACGAAATAGATACGTCAGCAACATTCGAGACCATCGACTGGAAAAAGCATTCCTCTTTGTCTATTCGTTGTGACGGATAAAATCGTATAATTTCAGCACTCAGCAGTGGATTCACTTCAATTGATGGGATTTTAAGACAGAGCTCAATTCATAGAATCTTCGTTGTTACTAAATATGCTTACAAGGCCTGTGAATAGCGCTAATTTCTCTGCCATGCGCATATCATTCTTTTTCGTGGCTGTATCCTGATTAGGCATCATCTTGTCCGCAATATGTGGCCTTGTGATCTTTAGGATGTCAAGCTTGACGTGTGCAAACTTCATATGACCAATGAACCTTAATAGTATCAATTGCTTCGCATAACTCACAAGTCCCCTGCAATATTTTTTAAGCATATTATGAGAAAATGGAAATACTTAATGCTAAAAACTCTCAATTGCTTTGAATACTTAATAAAAAATTAAAAAAATTCAATTATTCTGTACATGATAAAAAGCAAAACTGCAATATATCTAATCTTACCAGATCTACTTTGTCTCAGTTGTTGTATTTTCCAATAAAGTCTAATGTCATAACGTGTTCACATACAGAGGTCATTTTTAAATTTACAGTCTCGGATCTAAATTGACCTACCCATTCGTGGACGGAACAAAAGCCATTCAGTCCTAAAGATATTCGTAGAAAAAATTTATTATTATAGAAATGAGGAAGAAGGAAAGAGGAAGCTGAAGAAGGAAACAATTCAAGTTATCAACATACGTTTTTTGATATTACATCGTCCATTACTCAATATATTGGCCAGGGATGCTGCCAAAGAAGGTTTTTCAGTTACCATCAAAGCGGTTTTCATTTTGACGCAATATTTTCTTCATATGGCATTACAATTGATTTCTTCTTCTGTCATGTGGCACCGATTCCTAATACTTTGACGAGCTCGACACGACCAAGATTTAAAGGTTTGGGCACATTCATCTCCGAATCGTGAGAGGCAAGGGGACTCACGCAAATCAAACATTCCGAATCGTGAGGAGCTAAGAAAATAATGAATATGCAATAAGCAGTATATATGAAATAGAGATAAAAAGACTGAAAAATATAATAAAATTAGAAAAAATTGTATATAATAAAAAAGTTTGCAAATTATAAATTTACTGCTTTCTCACAATTTTAAAGTATACAAATTAGAAATTTGCACATTGCTTCATCATTTTATTTTACTCATAAAGCTTCCTTTATGAAGAAGTCAATAAATATTAATAATTATGTATCAAATAAAATATAAGCTTCCTAAATAGAAGAGCTTTATAAGTGAGCGAAATAAAATGATGATGCAATGTATAAATTTCTAATTTATACATTTTAAAATGGTGAGAAAGCAATATGCAAATTTCTAATTTGTACACTTTTTTATATTAATAATAATAGCTAATTGTTTACCGAATATTAAACATGGATAAATGATGTATTATGCGCATCATGCGTGAAACAGAACACACTTATGGACATGTAACTATCATATATACTCTGTTTCATAAATTAATATAAAATATGTATTTAATATAAACATTAAATTGTGAAATGTTCAATATTCTTGAAACGATAATAATTTTTATTATTACCTCTCCATATATCTTAAATGTACATGAATTTTCTTCGAACTCTATATTTGTAATATCACCAACTTTCTACTCTTGTTGAATATTTGTATTATAAGCACCAATAGCTAGTCCCATTTGATCTTCTCGAACATTAAATTCATCGATATATCTAAAATAAGGAAAATTTTACATTGCACATCTCTTTAAACAATTTTGTTCAAGATAAAGTTTCTCTCTCTCTCTCACCCCATAATACGTATATACCTATATATATTACATCTTCGGTTTCTCGGAGGGAATAGCCACGCCGCTTTTAACGGTTTCCCACTTTCCTTTGCTATCATCTTCGTCACGTTTCTTTTATCGTTCTTTTTCTTTGCGTTCTTTACATTGCTCCTTCCTTTTCGCTTTATCCTCGTCCTCCTCCTAGGCTAAAGCCCTATGTAAAAAAAATGTGTTATATAATATATTATGCTTCATGTTATCGGCGTTTTAAATATACAATATTTCGCGTTTTACATGTTATCAGAACGGCGAGACCTTCAGCGTAAAATCGACAATGCATCGCCCCCAAGCATCCATACATGGAATTGACTGTGAGGTTTAATGCCATTTGCCTGATATGGTAATCCATTTTCTGTTCCGGCAATAAATTCGGCGCTTTCATGAGTTGCTTGATCTGCTGTCTGCTTTTGACTAATTTGTGAATCTCCGTCGGGATCATACCTGAGTCCAGATTTAACTCGAGAATATTTAATTGCTGCACTGTGTAAATTACGTTTTAGTCCAGATATTTACTTCATGATATTGTTTGCATATAAGAAAATTACCTTGACGTCAGCATACGCCGCACTGGGCACGATGGTAAAACACAAATTGTACTCTTGTATAATACTCGGATTAATACATCTTGTACAATACCAAAAATTGAAGTTCATTAGCCGTCCCAGTTTGTCATAAAAACCTTTCTTCGGATCAAGTACGAGGCCTCCAGCATACGCCGCAGCTTTTTTCCTACGCGAGCCATCTAACATATATCTAGTTTCGTAATAACGACAATATATAAAAATATATTGAGATCTCACCATCGCCTCGCCCTTTCTTTTCAATTTTCTTATCCAACGTTATGTAATTTTTCAAATTAAAAGCATGTAACAACAGATATTCGTTTCTCTCCGCTCTTCCGCCTAATAGCGTCCTTGATAAAATATTACCTATATTCATTCAATTCGCAAAATTTAATTATAATTGCATTATTATATTTTATAAGTAAAATGGGAAATATATAATGAATGTACCTGCTAAACAAATGATTTGAAGCGCGAGCGATATAACATTGAGATCCATCACTGTAGTCATAATGTATTTTGCTTCTTTTAACGTCACATGCATTAGATTTAGCACTTTGTCCATTATATTGAAGAACGATGGAGTTTCCGCTGACGTGATCTCTTTACATTCGTGTTCCTTCATCTTTAATACTTAAATATTTGTCAAAATTAAGTTATTTGGTCGGATGAACAATATAATACCAATATTACGAGTATCGTATGACTTACTGCACTGCAGAGTGATTGCAGATCATAACTTCTGACTTTTAAGTTCAATTCCTTCACCGAAATTTGTATATCACAAATTGGACGACCAACAAATCCTTGATTAATGATTATTTTTCCTTGTATAAATATTACATGTATTATTTTATGTTAAAGAAATTATCTTATTTACATGCCAGTTATATAAACATAATTTTAATATTTTACTTAAATATACCATACTACAAATTGTTACAAATCGTAAAGTTTAATATAGTATGCTTAGACTGTAGTAAAAGTAAAAAAAATATATATATAATAATTAAAAGAAAAGGAAAAAAAAGAAAAAAAGAAAGAAAAAAGACACTAAATTACGTAAAAAGTATATTCAAAAATAAAAACTGGAATTTCTTGAAGCTACCGCTTACCATTAAAATCTGGTTGTAAAACAGTGTCTTCGTCATCAGTAGTAAGACGACATTCGTACCTACGATCTCTACGTTAGGTGGAAGACGACCTTGTCTACCACTCATATACCCTGAATTACCGGCACCTCCCTGATGACCACCTCTTGGCGGTAAATCCCGAACACGATCTTCACTGCCGTCCAAAGTATCTCTACGTATAATCCTAAAGGATGTATGATCAATCGTTAAATTTCTGATGCATGTAGGCAATTACAATATTTTTACTTGTATCTCGTATCACCCATTGACTAACTTATCAGATATGCCTAAAAAAAGCTGATCAGAATTGAAACAAACGGTGTATCACAATTTATTCAAAACGTTATATTATTTTTTCTATTAGTCTATTAGTCTCTTTTAGTCTCTTTACTTCTTTTTCTCTCTAACAAGGATAAATAATGTATTATGCGCATAAAATTCAGTTTTTTATATCCACAGATAATTATTTAAACAAAAACAATTCTCATCATTGAAATATATCATAATATATAATCATTGATTCAGTGTATGCATTATGTTGCAGTTTTATTGTGTTACGTTCAGCCAGTGAAAGAGTTCTCACACAATGCAAGTATGTAATAATAAATATTAAAATACTTCCACTAATTGAACGTAACCCAACATCATTACAACATAATGCAAAAGCAATAATTATTACTCTTACATATGCTTATATATAAAATATATTATTATAAGGATAAATATAATTTACTGTCCGTATTAAAAATCTATATAGTTACAGTAACGTATATCTTAGATTTGTACGAGCAAGCAATAAATATTGAAACATAACCTATATAAAATAATTATACTTTGATACTAACATACGTACCTAATAAAGTTTTCTAAACGACATTGAAAGCTCTTTCCATACTCTTCAAAAGGACAAACGAAACCATCTCTCTCTCTCTCCTCCTCTCTCTCTCTCTCTGTCCCTCTCTCTCACTCGATGTAACTCGATCTG